AAGCTTAAGCACACAGGGAAACAGCCTCGTTCAAATGCCAAATGTATCTAATAACAGCAAAGGGAGGAATACGTAGAGAAATGTCATAGTAAGATTCGACCTCCTTTACCCACTAACTAAAAAAGTGTTTAACCAACTCTAATTGTACACAGCACCTTCAAAACTCACAACCACTTCCATCGAGAAGGACAAGGGCAGCAGATACATGGGAACACCACCCCCTGCAAGTTCCCCTCTAAACCACTCACCATCCTGACTTGGAAATATATCACCGCTCCTTCTGTGTCGCTGGGTCAAAATCCTGCAATTCCTTCCCTAATGGCATTGTGGGTCAACCCACAGCAGGCGGACTGCAGCGGTTCAAGCAGGCAGCTCACCATCACGTTCTTAAGGGGCAACTAGGGATGGGCAATAAATACCAGACCAGGCAGGGACACCCACGGCCCACAAGTGAATAAAAATCAATGATGTAATTGTGGTACCTAAACTGATAAAGGGATTTGAGAGGCTGACAGAGTGAAACTATTTTCTCTGATGACGGCAGGCGCGGGGACAATGGAGAGCAGAACATTCTCACTGGAGCTGGCTGGCACAGTCAAGGGTCTTATCTGGGAATGTTCCCTGGCACACAGCCTCTCCCCTCATCAGGTGTGGCACTTGGAGCTGATTGATAGATTTTCCCGATCGTTGGTTATCGGGTTATCGGATTGTGGAGCGAACATGGATCAATCAGGTGGATGGCCATGATCTGATTGGTTGGTGGAGCAGGCCCCAGTGATGTAAACCATTGACAGGGTGTTAGACATGGTGGTGTGACAGCCCATCCCCCTGTCCTTGTGTCTGCTCTCCCTGAGGCACAGCTGTCCCTGAGCTCTCTCTGTGTCTGGGTGTGAGCTCCTGCTATGTCACCACAAACGTCCCTTTGTGCAGAAACATCTCTCTGAACCCTCAGAGCTCTGTGAGGAATTTCACAGAGATGTGGTTCTGAAGGACTGGGAAGGAGACATTTTGGGAAATGAGCCTCAAAATAGATTCAGGAAACCCAACGTGTGACTTCTTCCCCATTAATAATGCGACCCCCCCCACCAATCTCTAACCTCTCCTGCATCTATACTGCCTCCAGGTACCTCCCTCCCCAGTACAGATCACAGGTGGTGTGGACCACACCTTTCTAGACCTACTCGGTGACCAGCTGCTGGGATTTACAAATTACTGAGGATAGGAGGGAATCACCTAAATGGAGAGGCAATCTACCACATTCCTTTATCTTAGGAAGCTCAGAATTCTCAGATTAGAGAACCGTGCCCTGCAGCTGTGACATAACACAATGTGTGAATGGTAACACCACAGTGATGTTACTGAGCTGGTCAGCCATGATATGGAGATCGTAGAATCATAGAATCCCTACAGTTTGGAAACAGGACATTTGACCCAACAAGTCCACACCACCCCTTCGAAGAGCATCCCACCCAGAACCATTCCCCTACCCCTGATTTCCCCATGTCTCACCCACCTAACCTAAACATCCCTGGGCACTACGGGCAATTTAGCATTGCCAATCCACCTAGCCTGCACATCTTTGGACTGTGGGAGGAAACCGGAGCACCCGGAAGAAACCCACGCAGACACGGGGAGAATGTGCAAACTCCACACAGACAGTTGCCCGAGGGTAGAATCGAACCCGGGTCCCTGGCGCTGTGAGGCAGCAGTGCTAACCACTGAGCCACCATGCAAGATGACAGTTCAAATCCCACCAGGGCAGCTGGGGATTTCATATTCAAAATGCAGAAGATTATGGTCATCACAACAACACCAGATTATTGTTAATAACCGATCTGGTTCACCACCATCTCTGAGGTGGATGAGGGGAGGGTCCTTAACTTGTCTGGCCCACATGTGACTCCAGACCCACAGCCATGTGATTGTCTCAAATGGTGCAGAAAGCCATTGATTTGCAATTAACTGCTTCAATGTACGACAGAGGCTCCAGAGAGCAGTTCATCATCAACTACTCAAGGATGATTGGAGCAAGCAAGATATGGCCAGCTAGCAACGCCCACATCCTGAGACTGAAACACAGTCAGGAAGTTCTCCTGTAGCCCACACTGGCTGGAGCAAGTCAATAGATCGCCCCTTTCCACCATCTATCAAGCTTTCTAATCTCACTACGTTCTGTCCTCTCATTAATATTCCCAATAATGTGATATAAATGGGAAATAATGTGATTTAAAAAACCCAGCAATGATGTAACCTTGGAACAAAATCCCTTGATACTAAGTCGGAAAATATTGAAAATCCTTCACAGCTACAAAGGCAAATTCACCACAATAAACATTTGAGAAGCCTCCATTTGGTTACAGGTTGGTCAGGTCGTCAGTATCCTCTGCACTGACAGTCTCCACAGAATACAGTTAATCAAAACCCCATCTCCTCAAATGTAATCAAACTGATCAGGATCATTTCCAGGTTATCTGACTCTGTTTGTGAATAAGTGCACAGTAAATCACTGACCACAAAGACCACAGTCAGGTTAAAGCAGGCAGCTGGAATATGACAGAGGACCTCGTGGCGGGGAGGTTAGTTCATGGCATGTTGAACCGTCACTTCCACTGCAGGCATTTCTGATTGAAATATCTGAACTGCTTGCCACTGGAGAGTCTTCAGAGAACTCAAGAATAAACATCTTAAACCCAGCCCTGGTTTTAACCTGAGCAAAATATCTTGACCAATGAATAAGAGAAAATTTCTGGGTCACCAATCCCATATCAGTTCTTTCAGATGGTGAAACTGTATTAAAGTTACTGTCAGACTGGTGTAGCCATGGAAATTCAGAAATGGACCAAAGGCAATGCAATCAGCTCTGTACTTAATCCAGCAAGATATGGTAATGTTTGATGGGGTACAGTGTAGAGGGAGCTTAACTCTGTATCTAACCCCATGCTGTCCCTGCCCTCGGAGTGTTTGATGGGGACAGTGTAGAGGGAGATTTACTCTGTGTCTAACCTTGTGCTGTCCCTGCCCTGGTAGTGTTTGATGGGGACGGTGTAGAGGGAGCTTTACTCTATATCTAACCCTGTGCTGTCC